GAAACATTTAGTTTGACAAACCTACCTCCTAATTCAGAGCTAGCTAACGGTTTGGTCACATGAGTAAGCAATGTCGTTACATCTACAAAAACTCTGTGGCTGCCTTTTGATTGGCTGCAACATGTGGTTGCTAAATTGTTACAGTACTCGGCGTATTGCAAATTGTTAAAATTAACCTTAAAAATCCTGGTACATGAATTTTCTCTTTATTCAATTGGGTAGGAATGTCAAAACTACTTGAAAAAATGCCTTAGGGTGTTACCAAGATGGGCTACAAGATGGAACGGCTTTCTTCCAGAAGGACTTATTTTTCTTTTCATGTTCATTTCAAGTGAAAATTGGCATGTGCATGTGTTTCCATGCATGTCATACAGTTGTTTCACTTCAGGCATTCATTGTTATGCTGTAGCTTTCTGAGCTCATAAATTTCTACCAATCATAATGGTGTAAAAAGAGAGACAAAAGTGATCATATGAGCATTTTTGTAGTATGATTTCCAAGAAACTGTTAGACCGAAAACCCAAACAGCTGTTGATGATGTACCTTCCACCGGCTGGCGCCTTTTATTGTAGGGTGGTGTACTTTTCCTTTGTCACTGGCCAAATCTAAACTGCGGGGTGATATTGATATTTCCAGAGCTAGAATGGAGTCTGAAAGGAAAAACATTTTTCCACCCTCTAAAACAATAAAATATAAACGTGAGGTCAGACCAAGAACACGGCCTTGTTTTAGACTCAACATTTTGGCCCAAGCCAAAGTAGGCTCTGCAAACAGATTTCTTCACCTACAGGTCCATAATGTGTCTGTAAAGCCTGAAATAGTGAGTAGGTGGAAAGTTCCTCAGTAAAACAAAAGCAGGAATGTTTAAAAGTGTGCATCTGCAAATTTCTGTAGAAAATCTCTGCAATTTTGTTTTGTGTCGAGTCATTTTTTGTGAAATCCCCTTTAGCTTCCTTGAAAAAACCTTCACAGTGCTGGATACTGATAACACTAATAAAACATTACTCACATTTATTTACTTTTATGACTATGACTAACGCTGATCTGGTCTGTTTATCACCAGGCAGAACATATCTGTATACTGCTGTGCTTTTCATCCTGTTCTTTGTTAAGAAACAATCAAAAGCACACGAATGGATAATAGACATGCTCTTATCCTTAGCAGATTTAGGCCAATGTGAGCAGGAGGCAGAGAAAAGCTTACTTACACCTGCATAACCCAGAGTGAAGGACCATTTAAAAAGGAACAGTTACTAAAAGATAACTGAGGAGTCCATGCCATCATGTCGTCTACTGTGGACGACGTCCATTGAATGCATGGACAAGTTTCCAAGCAGGTGTTTCGCTATCGGCTAACATGGCCAGCTCACCTACTGCATCTGAACTCTAGAAACAGAAGCATGAGCATGAAGCTCGAACAGATTATTTCACGAATCCTTTTGTTTTTTTTACAGAATCTTTCTGTATGGGTTTCTAAGGAATGTGTTTATATGAGGAATTACACTCATATGCTCTAATAAAGAACATTAGTGGGGAAAAAAATAATGATGTCCTGCTGATTGCAGAGTTCACACCCTGATCACACCGGCCCCGACTGTGTGGCGGGCTGCAGCTGTCAAAAATATCCCGACTGGTTGTTGCATTGTGCAAAACCCTCTCCTTTATTGGTGTTCTCCCTTTCTGTTCAAAAACTTGCTTTGTCTCCCTTTCCCCCTCGCTCCTGGTTTGAAGTGAATGCAAACAGGGTTGAATTGGAATATAACAAATCTGTATATGAGCCGTGGCTTCATTGTTTGTCCTCAATGTGAAATCTTGAACTACTTTTCTTCAAAACTCCTTTTGTTCCAACTTGTGTTGCAGTGAGTTTCCTGCTCATAAAGTAACTGAAAGATCAATATGAAATTAGAAGCAAAGCTGAAATGGAACTTTATTAACAATGGCGTGATGGTATTGTTGTGTCGAAACCCCTTGTGCGGCCCTTCCTGTCACGCAAAGCTGCTCTCGTTGTCCGGGGAGTGGACACAGGAAGTGGAATTCTCTGTGGCGACAACAGAGGAGTGGTGCTGTTTACTCCCACTCTTTCTAGTGTGCTTTCATAGAGGCCCCCAGTGGCATTTTCTTTCTTTTTTTAATATCAAGTCTCCAGAGCAGCCTGCAGTTGAACAGGTCACTTGGTCTGACTGATTTTGAGGAAAATCATCCAAAAAGGTAAATCAAAAACGTGACATGGTCATTTCTTGTTGCCACTAACACAAGAGATTTAATAGTAATGAAAAAGTACCTATAACCTTTTTGTAAGAGAGTCCATGTTCCTGTTTCTTTCAGCCTGTTTTACGAGGGTCCATTAAAATAAATCCACTTGTCATTTACAAGCTTTTGACTTAACCTTGCACTTTGGATTTGTTGGTTTTTCTTTGAACCTGAAGTCACATTGAAACTTGAAGAGGAGCGGGATGGATTAGGATTTGCTGCAGCACACCTTACAATAATTAAAATGCAGTGTGCTAAAATGGTGACGAGTGAAAAGGTGCAGAATGTGCAGAGACCATAGATATCAGAGCACACAGTAGCGTACAATGTGGGGGTTTTTTTTGGGTTTTTTTTAATAATGTTGTCCTTGAGACTCCCGCTCTGCTCTGAATTAATTTCCTTCCTCTGGTTTCTCCCTCCACTCTCTCCTTCAGGGAACAACAAGAATAGGTCCTGCATAGCAAAGTGAGGCTCTTAATTTAGCAAACGCACATGGCGTTTCCTCCAGTGACATATTTTCGTGGCAGTCGTGTCACCTGTTGGCGCTCAGCTGAAGTTAATGTGAGGGGAGTTGGTCGTCAGTCGTTGTTAATTATGGCATGGACAGCGAGTCCAGCCTGGACTTGTTTAAGCACATTTTTGATGACATTGACTTAAGTGTTTTTGTAAGACAAGTTTTTAAGTGTTAGCAGTGTGTGATGTAAAATCAGCTGGCGATGCATGCAGTTTGTCCGATCAGCCAACCCTTTGAATGGTAACCTGTTCCACTTGTCTGTCACCTTTGTTGTCTAAACATAATCATCTGTAGACTCTTAAGATATTCTTGAGTTGTCATTCATTACGTTGTTTTTTGTTCCCCCCCCCCTCACTGTGATTGAGCCATAACAAGCAGTATTTTAGTATACTACAATTTGTTTTAAATGTGATTGCTCTGTTTCTGTTAAGCGAAGCTAGCTAAGCTAATTTATTATTTGGGTGGGTAAAAAAAAAAACCCTGCTTAGCTTATGAATGACAAAAAAAAAATCAATTTGTATACATCCTACATTTCCAGTGTAAGTGAAAAGGAAATGCAGCATCCATACTTACTTGAATGATCTCAGTGTACCACCGCCATGATTCAAAGGTTATGGCTGTTGATTAAGAAAACTGCATCCAACACTGTAAAACCCAGTAGCAGTATCTGCAACAGACTGGTTTGCAAATCAGATGTCATGAAATCTTTTTGTATTTGTATACGGTGTGATTTTGGTGTAGTCTTTAAGCTCCAAAGGCATGCTCTTACCTTTCTGAAAGGTTTATTCTGTGCTGCCTACAGTCACAGTGAACTTTGTACCTGGATTAACAAGATTAAGAAGTAGTTCAGTGGAAATGATTCATTTTTTGTTCAGCATTAATGTGAAACTAGAGTGTAGCTTCTCCTGTTTGTTTCAGGACGGTGCTATTCGTAAGCTCTCAGTTGTAGAAATTAAATAATAAACTATCAGGTTAATTGTGAAACTGTAGCAATAAATAAATTCCACCACAGTGTTGTCTTTCCAAGTTGTGTGTTAGCATTGCCTTTTCATTTCTCACTCTTCTCCCTTTATTGTGCTCTCACTCTCACTTTCCCACAGCTAAGATTTCAGGAAGCCGACATCCTCTTCTCCGCGTGTCTCTCGCCGCCTGTTCCTGTATCTCCTTAATTCTCTGAGTTCAGTTTCTCGTTCTGTGAATCTATACCTTTCAATCCTTTTATCCTCCTATTCTAACTGGCTCTCTGAATATTTGGCCGAAGCTCATGTTCCACACCCGAGCCACCGCTTCCTGGTCATTAGCAGTTGTCGAAACGGAGAGCACAACAAGTTAGTTAAGGTATGCAAGGGCCTGAAACCATACTGCTGTCAGTGCATAAGAAGCTAAAATTACAGCCTTCTGGTCATATGCATCTGCCAACCAGTTAGGTTGCAGATTCCCTGGACAGCTTGAACTTTGACCTTTTTTGAAGTGCAGTCACGTTATCTTATTAGAAATTGGTCTTTTCTTATAATAATGTTATGCATTTTGTAATTAGACCTCACTCTGAGCATCCATCAGCTATTCTGTTCACTGTTCTGGCATTTCTGCTGTTTTCAACCAACCTGGTCGTTGTTTGCGTACATACATGATATGAAAAATAACTGTTTTGTTAGATTATAGCCAATGGGTTTGAGATTGCATTTCAGTAAGTGGAAGCAGGTAACTTGGTATCCATATGGATCATGTTCAGATACTGCAGTTTTCTGAGTGCCTTTTGATAATGACATGAGCCAATGTCATTGTCCCATCTCTTTAAAATCATCCGAAGGTCGACTCCAGCTTCTGGACCAGTGAGCACATTTGGGCTTGAAGGAATTATTTGCATATATCATCTGCAAACACAACAAAACCACAAAACCAAAATGTTACAGACGCTGACTCTAGTGTTTGACACTATTTGGGTAAATGGAAAACAAGAAATCCAGGATGCAAACATGCCATTTACCAGTGAGTTAAATACAGGGAGAGGTTACAGTAGGCTGATGTGCCATATCCTCATGTTACAGTCAATTTACCACACAGTCTAGGAAAACTTGACCTCTGTCAACCATTCACTTCTGGGCAGCCGCTTTGGTATGGCTCCAAAATGGTTTGTACACTTTCCAAAGGAAATGCTGTACGTACGCGTAGTCTTCGGCTAAAGAAGGAAAAGAAATGCATAAAGATTTCCACAATCATCCAGTAGCTTTATCTTCCTGCCATTTGTTAAGGTTACATTAAGCAAATTAGATCTAAAAAAAAACCATGATTAAACAGTGATGGATGGGATCTGCTCACACCGTGAAGCTGCACGCTGAGATTAATCTAATTATTCTAGTCTTTGTGACATGGAGGGATGTATTACAGGGTTGGCTGGTAAGCTACAGTTCATGAGCTGACCACTAGCATGCTAAGCTGGCATCGCTTAGTCACACTTCCTAAAGCTTCTTTTTTCCTGTTTACTGAAATGTTTACTCCCCCTTTCCACATCAGTTGAATTAAACTTTTTAATGAAAGGGGGCGGGGCTTACACTAGTTGAGCTAACAATCATGTAATCACTACATGAGCTGATTTTTTTTTTTTCTCCCCCGTATAATTTTCTGTTGCTAAATCTTGTGTGTCCAGCAGTCCTCACATTTTAGAAAATCTTCCAAAAATAGTTTTTCAGGCCAATCACCCATTGAGCATTGATCCAGTAGACTGCTCTTTTCTGTTGTTAGCCTTAGAGTCTGAACAGCTTGGGGAATTGTAGCTATCTGCTTAAGAAGGTCAGGGCTGCACTTGCTAAGCTACACTGCTGCCTCCGGGCTGAAGGTGAACTATGTCTCTAAGACACTGAAGAGACAGAGTGGTGCTGCACATTTGGGTGCAAGGAATGGTCACTTGTAATTACAGGTTTGTTGAACATGTCCGAGCAAGCGTGGCATGTCTGCTTCATTCAGCTGACCTTACTGTTCCTGCAGACTTTAGCTGAAGCTGCTGAAGTATTGTGTTTTCACTGTAGAGGGTGGCTCCAAAAGGCTGTTAAGATGTTGGTCAACCACTTGTAGTAGTTCTTTCTGAGAATGAGCTTTTGAGTTGCTGTTTCTGTTTGCACATATGCGGCATCATAGCCAGGCAAACGGTAACTCTTGTGCTGCTTGTTTCATGCCAGTGAAGCTGTATGATAGAAACATACATACACGTCAGTGATCTCCTTGTAGTTGCGTGATCTGTGTTAATTATATTCGAATACATGTATTAAAGGCTGCAATGTTTTTTCTTAACGTCACCACTAACGTCTTTGCTGGAAAATGTATTTTATTTTTTCTGTCTCTTCATCACTTAAAGTTTGGAATGTAAATTCTGAATTGATCCAAATCAAAATAATGAAAATAAAACAACATTTGGCCCGTTTAGTGCCACTATGAATGATTTTGCAGTTGAACTTTAATCAGTGTTATGCATTTGCATTATTTTGCCAACTCTGACATTTATTAGCACAACATGACTGCTTGGAGAATTAAATAGAATACTACTACTTATTTTAATATTTGTTCAGTCAGCTGTGATTGGACTGTATGTGATCTGCCATTTTATCGCTCATTCACAAACACTCGCACACGAATGGGAGCACCAACCCTGTGATTAGTGGACAACCTGCTCTGCCACCTGAGCCAAAGCTGCCTGGTTTCAAGTTTAAACAAATAAGCCACTGTAGGAGCTGAGCAGATACTGTGGATTTTTTCTTCTCAGGTTGTTTTGACTCAGTATGTTGCACTTGAATTTTCTGCATTCCTAGAGCCGGATGCTAAGACTGTGGAGATTATCTGACTGTTCACAATGTGGTTCTCAGTCCAACTGTTTTTCTACCTGCACTATTTAGCAATTCCAATAACGTTTATTTAGTCCTTTACAGCTCTCTAGAGTTTATAACTGACCATTTCACAGCAGACTTATGGGAAATCTGACTGCTAAACTACCCACATTGTAAACAAGCAAACCTTCCAAATCTTGGCTTGATTTAAACGTTCAGAAATTATTAATATAGTCATTCAGCACTTGCTCTGTGTGTCTTCTTTCCTTTTAGGATATGTTAAATTTCCTCAAAGCCAATACAGAAGGCTTTATCATCTTTTCTTCAGTTGTTAATTTTCACTAGCTCATGCTAATCTGTTTTTACAGTTATTTTTACGAGTCGCCGATAACCATGTTTTATGTGGCTTCCGTTCCACCTGTAATAATGAGGGGCCCCGGGCGTATTGTTGAAGGTTGTGTAGGTCTGTTTAAAAATGGGGAAATAATTTTATATTTGTTGCTTGTGGTGCTGCATAACATAGTCTGGCTCCCAGGATCTTACCTCTATCTCATCTTTGCAATCTCATAATTGGCACGTTCTGCATGTGTGTTACAAGTAGTCATCAATAAACGTGCATTCCCATGTAAGCATGCCCTATTACACTCTGCTTACATAAAAAAGGTATTTAAAATGGCAAACTACCAATTCTAAGAAACTATGACATTATCTTTTAATGGATAAAATATTAACATAATCAATGAGGTAAAGTACTTGTTAGTTTCTTGAACTTGCGCTAATGAAAGTCTTGTTTTCTTATTAATGTTATGATTGTAGCATTCAAATAACTCTTCCATATTATGTCAGCACTTAAACAAAAACGTTTCGTGACTACCATACGGACGTGCGGTTTTCTTTTGAAAGCTATAAAAATGATGCTCGAACCTTTTCTTGTTTGCAGAGCATTTTGAGTAAAATGAATGTTGAACTTCACATTAATGTTAAGAAGGCGTACCCTGCATTTAGTGTGGCTGTCATAACTCCGGTAAGGCCAGAGATCTGAGTCGTGGCTTAAAGAAACAGCTGACAAACGCATTTGTATGACTGATGCAAACAGTAATAAACTAACACTGTTAATCCTGCGAGATGTGGACCGTAAACATAGCAGCTAAAGTTGGCTTTGTGAAGCTGTCAAATCTACAAATTAACACTTTAAAAACTGCAAACCAAATGGGAGGGTTCACAGTCCAGTGCCAACTCGCACACCTTAGTGCAACACATACAAATTCCCAGTTAGTAAATGTGTGATATTGAGGCTCTGTAACAGTATGAGCCCTGAACAAGCTAGGCACTGATGACATACACCTACTAAACTTTTCAGAAAGATGACTTCACGTTGTAAAAAGCTGACCAAACTAGATCCTGACATTCCTTCAGTGTCAGCGATTGTATAGTAAGAGTCACGTGGTTGAACCTCAGTCAGAGGGAACCTCAGACTAGGCTTCTCTCAATGTTCAGATTACAGAAAGAAATGCATAGAGTAATTTTCTTCAAATATCAGTATCTGCCAAAAAGATCTAAGTTTACATCTACCTGGGAGACTCAAATGATATTCCCAGACCTATAAAAACAACAGATATGCATTTGTTGGTGGTAACAAAAAGGGCCTCACCCAGATGTTTTGAGGAAACTGTCTTTAAGAGGATGTGCCAAAGAATGAAAATGCTTCATTTATTCTGCCAAAGAAAGAGGGGACTTTCTGGATGGAACAAGAAAATGAAACCAACAGTTTCTGCTTTTTGATCGTGTTCGAGTCTGTGTTTACCTACTGATCCAAGAGCAGATAAGTCCCAGCGCTGCTCTTAACTTTAATAGATACTATCAGTGTTCAGCAAAGTTTAACTTTAACAAAAGATTGAAGCGGGAATCCTGGGATTGAAGTTGTTTGATATATTAGGTGAGATTGGTTCTTTCCTGACATGTAAAAAAACAAAAATAAAAATCTTGAGCTGATTCCAGATTAAACTACTTGACAACAAGCCCTTATCCATGACTACCCAGGTGATGCAACAGGTCTGTTTCTAGTTCAATTGCTTGAGGAGCTGAATAGGCCACTGCAGGTTTCATCCAGCTGTGCACCATCTGCTTTGTCACTTCCTTAAGGGCACAAACCTCAGAGTTATCTAAAATCAGACCTTTTTTAAGTTGGTGTGCAGACGTACAGGCATGGCACTCAGGTGAAACGATATATACCAGAAATATTTCCTTTCTTACATTTTTGATTGTTTGAGCACAATGTGAATCATGCGATCAGTGAAGGATGTGAATGTCCATTGGTGCTAGATGTGTATGTTGGAACAAAATATTTCGTTTAGTTAATTATTTTAACTCTCTTAAGAGTAGCTTATTAATATTAGCTCTCACAGGTTGTTGTACTGGGCAGGTAAATTATAAATAAAATTAATAAGAAGCACTTGCTTATAATATAAAGGGTGACGTGAACCAGGGAAATAAAAAGGTCTGCAATGGCCTCTTTTTGTAGTTTATGCATCCACCCAAACAAACAAAAAACTTTTTTTTTTTATTATTATGTTTTGGGTTTTTTTTTTTCAGAACTGTTCAGTACTCTATTAGACCAAATAAAAATTAATTGAACTCGGGTCTATTATATTCTTTTTCTGGATATTCTGTGTTTGTAGGTTACAGGACTAGTTAATATCAGAATTGTTAAACCTGATGTTTATCTGCTCACCTTTTAAAAATTCTGTAGATTTTGCAACAATTGCATTTTCAATCTTCCTTTTAAATCTAAAAATATAGTTTTGTTCTGTTTTTTGTTTTTGTTTTTTTTGGGGGGGGTGGAGTTGAACATATTGTCACTGAAATGCCAGATTTGCCTGGTTTGCAGCCCTGATAATTATTAGCCTTTAATGTGTTTGATTATCAATGAAATGACTTTGTCATATCGCTTCAGTGACTGAAGATGGTGGAAGATGTCCTGTGATTAGTAAGGTTTTCCCAGAGATGTCTATTAGTTGAATGTCCTCATGTGATGATAAAGAGCGAGTTTGCCAGCATGGCCCTGCACTGTGCAGCACTGCCACAACCCTAAATCCCCCCATCCCCTATCCTTTAAGCAGCGAGCTGACCATCTGTTCGAGACGCCCTAACCCAGTGATCAGAACACACGCTGATACACACAGACGCAGTCGAGTCACACAAACAGGAAAACATTGCACTCAATTAATTCCAGTTTATGGATTCAGTAGTGAGCAGTAAGACTGAGTGACTTATATAAGATCGAAAGAAGTAATGCATATATATATAATTCTGTGTGCGCCTGTATGTGAACCATGGCAGATGTTTGTATCAAAGTTGCTGAAGTGACACACAGAGTTGGATATGGGGCAACAGGAAATGACCAGGGATGGGTGCAGCATTGTATCATTTCCCTGCTGGAGTCCTTTGTACTCGTCTCTGTGCACCTACTATATGTGTCCCTGTTCCATTTCCTGTTTTCCAGGGTTTTTCTGCTGGGGTCATGGTGCTCATGTAATAGTTGGTGAGGAAATTGATCCAATTTATTTTCAGGCATTGTAATATTAAAGATAAATTGGGGGTTGGATTAAGGCCATTTTCAATCTCCACACAGGTTGTACTTGGAAGCATCAATGTTTTTGGGGTTTGTTGCCAGGTATTTTGTGCTTTCCTTTCTCAGTATTGTTATGAATCAGGAGCACCTAAAGGGAATTTCTGTACAGTTTTGAATCTGACAGGAATGAGCTGATTCATTTGATAATTCAAATGAAGGTCCATGTATGTTTTTTGTGAATTCATGTGCTAATCATGACATAAATAGTCAAGTGGTGACATTTTATTGTCAAAATGTGATATTTTTCCTGTTTCTAAGTAACAAAGAACCTTCTTTGACCTTTATTCAGCAACGTTCATAAGGCAAAAAAGAGATTGTGACCACTGTAACAGTTAAATCAACTTCGATTCTTGCCAAGTCTTTATATTATGAGTCTGGATACATTCAGTTTACTATCAAGCTACATGAATATTCCTGGGATGTCGAATTTTAGATGAGCATATTACCAATTTTATTAAATAACGTTCTACATGTAAACTGCTTTTATGAATTAATATGTGGGTGTGGATGGGTGTGGGTGTGATGACACACAAGACTGTAATGTTGCCATCGTTAGATGAGGCTTCAGATGTGGTTGGTAGACACACATACCAAAAAAATCTGTCTCCCTTGTTCTTAATTAATTTTTTTTAAATTTCAGTCTTATATGGCATAAATGATCATATTTGCCAAGTAATTATGAGGTTTGTTTACTGCAAGTCTGAACATGAACAAAAATCTACAGTTTGCCTCCAGCGCTCTGTTTTGTTTTTTAAAAGCAGACGTTACATCCTATCACTTGCAATGCTTGATTGTACCTGAACACAGTGTAGTGCATATGAACTCTTATCATTTGTTTCAAAGGGGGATGTGGGCTGCTGTATTCTTTAGTTTTATTATATAAGAGTACATGGATGTTTGACCTTTCAAGAGCAACTTTAGGTTCACTGATTCTATCAGGGGTGGTCTTTGCTTAGCAGCTTGGTCATTAATTCCAGCTCTTTTCCTGTCCTCGTCTGTCCGTGGCCTCTGCTCGCCCTGTGATGCCCCTCTGCTGTGTATTAAAGCGGGAACTTGTGAATGGCGTGATTGTGCATAGAGTAAAGAGGATGGCAGCTGCTGGCAAGAGCTTATGTGTGTGTGCTCGGCAGTGTGGGTGTGTGCTAATGGTAATCCTGTAGATCCTCATGGCCTCTCCTTTCTATGAGTATACATGTCAGGATCTAAAAAAAATTTTTGGCCCACTGGCAGATTACATAACAGCACATGGTCTTTGTGTCATAATCTGCCAGATTTTGTAATCGGGCAGATTGCAGAGAGCTGCGCTGAAATGCCTGGCCTTAACTCACTAGATTTTCGAAGGTTCATTTCAGTTTTAGCCCAGAGACGTTCTCAAAGCCTCCAGGAGTTTAAAAAAATAATTGTACTTGTTGAGGCTATGATGAGTTGAACAGAAGTTTATTTTTTCATTGCTTTTGTCATGATAACTAAAGAAGTCTGGCTGTTGATGTTATTTTTTTTTTTTTTAAATCAACCTTTTTGTTCTTTCTTTTGCAGTGGTAATGTCTTGAATTGGTGGATCCTCCGACACAGTTAAGAACATGCCAGTGCCGGGCTGCTGCTAATGGGAGCTCCTGATCCACCATGAGTGCTCGTGATGGCGTTGGTGGCATGGGCACCCTGGGTCGTCGGCCGCGCTTCGAGAACTCCGAGTTAACCGTGCGCATCTACCCAGGCGCCCTGGCAGAAGGCACAATCTACTGCCCAATCAGCGCCCGCAAGACCACCACAGCTGCTGAAGCCATTGAACGTGTCATTGAACGGCTCAAGTTGGACCGCTCCAAGTTTTATGTTCTGGCTGAGGTGAAAGAATTTGGAGGTGAAGAATGGATTCTGAACCCCAACGACTGTCCCGTGCAGAGGATGATGCTCTGGCCCCGTATCGCACTAGAGCACCGGCCGCTGTCAGGTGGCGAGGACTACCGCTTCCTGCTAAGGGAGAAGAATCTGGATGGCTCGATTCACTATGGCGGCAGCCTTCAGATGTGGCTGCAGGTCACACAGGAGCGCAGGCGCCTGATGGAGCGTGGACTGCTGCCACAGCCTGAATCTCAGGGTGACCATGCAGATATGTGCTGCCTGCCAGAGCTCAACGAGCGCACGCTGCTGGACAACCTGCGCTCCCGCTTCCGCCAGGAAAAGATCTACACTTACGTTGGAAGCATCCTCATCGTCATTAACCCCTTCAAATTCCTGCCCATCTATAACCCCAAGTATGTGAAGATGTATGATAATCATACACTGGGAGATTTGGAGCCACATATTTACGCCGTGGCAGATGTGGCTTACCACGCCATGCTGCAGAGACGGAGGAATCAATGCATTGTTATATCTGGGGAGAGCGGCTCTGGGAAGACGCAAAGCACAAACTTCCTCATTCATCATCTGACTGCTCTCAGTCAGAAGGGTTTTGCTAGTGGAGTGGAGCAGATCATCTTGGGGGCGGGGCCAGTATTGGAGGTAAGCAAAACATACAGTCACTGGGTTTCAGTCATGCAATGTATACATAAGAGGAACAGGAATGCTGTCACGCATTTGTTTAAGTTCTGTTTAAAGCCTCGAGTTTAGCATTTTTGTCGGACACCATTTTTGTTTTTTTGAAACCATAAGGGGTGAAACTAATTGAGAAACCTTTTCAGTTGCAAGCTAGCCACACCCAAAAGCATACTGTGCTTTATTGTTTATTTTACTCTGTGAGACTCCTCTATGGGAGTCATATCGCACATATTGGTCTGTGCGATATGACCAAAATCTCATATTCCGATATAAGACATCTATCATCCCGATAACGATATAAATCACAAAAGTAACATTTTCTGTAAATTCTGTGAATCTCGGGCAGCTCGACTTGCGTGAAGTGTTTTCATCTGGGCGCTGTGTACCTGGAGTTCAGACTTTTAACCGATGCATGAAGCTATACATTTTTAGACATAAGTTGTAACGGCCGCCGTTTTCTTTGTACTTATTACACGGCGTGCTCTAGAAAGCCTGTTCCAACGTTTGAGTCTAAGGTTTATTTTTAGCACCTAACGCTTCTCATCCGTAAATACTCTGCATACTCTTTCACGATTTAGTTTATTTTGAAAAGTCTCAACAAGATCTCGAGCTTTTGTGAAAGGTTAATATGCAAAACAAACAAGCGGACGGCGGAGCCACGCCATTGTTTTACCGTTGTGGTTGCTAACGACAACGTGTAAAAACAGGCGCTTGTCCGTCAGTAGTGTGGTCATATTAAATATAAGAGAAAGACAGAACTTTAACAAATTAATATAGCCACTACAGTGACCATCAAAATGATGAAAAAATATTGCAGTAAACAGTTTATTTTGCGACACCACAAAACAAACGATGGCGTCGTATGAAACTATAGATGTTTTTATATCATTATCCGATATATATCGTTATATCCAACAGCCCTAATGGGAATTTTGTTATAATGAACATCAATTTGATGTCTGTAATACTTAAAACCTGCATTTGCGACCACACTCTCCTAAGGAAAGTGTTTAACTGAGATCATAAATCAGTCGAGCATTGGGACTTTTTCTCATGCACATCTATACAATCACACTTCTTTTTAGAGTCAGCACTCTTTCTAATGGCCATTAGGAGTGCTGGTTTGTAGAAGTACAAAATGGATAATTTGAGACCTGATCCCCCCCACCCTAGAAGATCAGACGTCATCGTACAATTTTTTGATTATGTCATAAAACTATTTTAAAAAAGGTCCTATAAGACTGCAGTTGAAGTGTGTTATTAAATACCTGTTTTGCATACAGATCTCAGCTCTCCTGATCATGTCTCTGTTAGCTTTGCAGTTTAAATTGATTCTCCGAGATTCTCTCGTCCTTGAACTGACGACTTAAAACGTAACTTTTACTCACCTAAAAACTTGATGGCTCTGGTTAATAGAGCAGCCTGGTTGACTTTGACTTTAGCTGAAACTGGGAGAAGAACGTCTGTAGGTAATATTTAACGGTTACCATGTCCACTTTTTTTTTTTTTTTTTTTTTTTTTCCCAAATTCTGTTGGCCTGTTGATTTTTGCCCATATACTCAAAATGGCTGGAAGTGAATGTGAGTTTCTTTGTGGTTTTTGACATCAGTTACACAACACTGGTTAGCCACAACTGTTTCTGGTTGGCCTGCAGTTGTGTCTGCCCTCATACAGAGGTTTATTGCACGTTTAGTCCAGCTGTGTGGGGATTATATTAGTGCACAGAGGAGCTCTATCTGCAAACAGTCAGTAGCCTATCAGTGCTACAGTTGTAGTTTTTGATTTTTCTTTCTTTTGACCAGCACACTGGATTTATTGTTTCAAGGTAGAGGCCCAGCCAAAGGTTAAGAAGGACACAATTATGTCACTTAAGACATAGAAAGACATTGTACTCTTTTTCTTTTTGAGGGATACGCCACTGGTATGCAATGCATACCATTCAATAGTCTTTGACAAGTTCACAACTGCACATAGTTTTCATATCCCTCAACATTATCTAAATTCCTAAAAAAGCTGCACACCACCCTTCATCTGTATGCACGTTTCTAGTCTGTAGTTGTATTTAATGACAGGTCGTATTACTCATTGTCACATTGCCTGATCACCTGTTGTTTACACTCACAATGTTCAGAGCAGTGTTTCCTGACATATTTTAGTATTTCCTCATCGCAGTATAACCAGCTTGACTGTATGACCTTGTTAAATTGTCTGTCAAACAACTTGAATTAAAATATTATGATAGGGCATAATAGATTATGACCCCTCTTTATACAGTGCTTAACAAATACATTAGGTCATGTATCATAAAAACAAGAAAATGCTTATATTTTTAGAAAATTAGAAGCAAGTCAGAATTTTTTTTTTTTAAGCCTGTTTTGTAAAAAGGTAATTTTGAAAATCATGAAAAACAATAGAAATTAAATTTTAGCATTAAAAATATGAGGCCCGTGGGACCTTTTCAGATTCTTGATGCCGTGTTCAGTGCCATCTTTGACAAAGTTCAATTTTGTTGACCCTTACGTACAGGTGATGTACCCCGAACGGGACACATGAAACAAATGTAAGTGGAGAATGAATAAAAAAATATAAATTGAGGTTTATAATAATGTATAATCGCACACATCGGGTACATGTATAGATACAATGGATCAGTAAAGCAAGATAATTTTGATTGAAGTGCTTGCGCATGCTGTTAGATGAACCATTACATAAACATAAAAAATAGTTTTGTAATTAGCATCACTCTTAATCTAAGCCTGCTGTGGCATAAACCTTACTTTGGGTGGTGGTCGAATAAATTTGTTAAGCATTGTGCGTATTTTTAAAGTCTCTCCCCACATGGTAATTTGTTTCCATCGCTATCAAAGCGAAGTCAAATTGACAGTAGTAGATTAGAAGCCAACTTCAAAGGTGACGAGCAAAACAACAAGTCATGCAACAAGTAGCTCTACACCACATTCATTACCCTGTGTTTAAGCAAGGAAGCTCTAAGGAATGCCATTCATTTGTGCGACTCTGGGGTTAATGTGTAAGCATGTTGAGTTAATCCACAACACGGCAACGTGAGTGAATAGTTTTAAGTGCAGAGGAGCAGCCTTTAATTGTTTGCACAGTAAGATTGCATATCTGCCTGCTGGTGACTAATGCAGAGACTGTAGGTGCGGCGCTACTGCAAAGAGGCTGAAGGAAGGGCGGAAGGAACATCAAACAAAGTCTCCTCAAAGGGATAATTTATCTCATTTCTTTTAAGCTTGTGTTTTAAGAAAAAACACAAGCACATGATTTTTTTTGTTGTGGAAATAAAATCCATGTTAGAGTTTTAACTTCTGTTGGTGTTAATGTGCTATCAGCTTAATGTAAAGAATTTTGAACGTAAACTTGACGTGTACCTTAACACTGCCTGTTGGTTTGGTGGTTATCAGTCTGTTTGTGCTTCTTCAGGAGCGCCACTGCATCTGCTCCTCATCTCTCTTTGTGACCGACTGTAAAAGGCCACATCTCTTTGGAAGTTGGGTTGCAATTTAGGTATTTTTAGTTGCACACCTAACCTCTTTTGATTATTCTTTCAATTTCTTGACTGACCTTTCCTTCACACTCCCAAATACGTGATGGATAATTTACAGTTTTGGTAATCTGTTTAGAAAATTTAAACGGAGTCTTCTGGAAGCCTTTTTCTTGACACTCAGCAGCTCTTTGAGCATCTATTTTGAGGTAGTAACCTCAATTAACTCAACAATAAAATTTCATTAAAAAGCTTTTGAAACACTTGCTGCTTTTACCCCAAATAAAGTTATAAAAAGTTTTGGGTTGTTTTTTTTTTGTTTTCCTCCTGGAAGTTATCCCTCTGCTCCCATAATCTTTGTGGTGACAGAATATTTCCACAGACCTCAGTTCAAGATTTTGTGACTGCCAAATGTCTCCATTATAATGATTCTGGTTTAAGCTGGTATGGAGGGAAATCCAGTTTTTCTTATGTCATGCCAGTGTTAATCAGAATTTAGGTTTAAGAAACACCAAACAAGCAAATTCAAGTGGAAAGTTTTTTTTTTAATAGAGTCTAATGATTTGAAAAATAACAATGGAAAAAATAAAATGATCAGCACCTTGTTGTGTTATGTGGGACCACACGTGGTGGTTTGTCAAATAGAAATCTAAGATAATGTGGTGGATTACGGCAATTCAGAGTGGTGACGTGTATGATTGCTTGTATGAGCAGTATAGAGCGCTTTGCTAACACAGATCACAGGTTTACAGACCATCAAGTAAGAAAAAAGTGTTTGCCGGTGAGCCACTAATTTCCTTGCAATGTGTTTTTTAGTGGTGGTAACTGTTGCTTTCATTTACTCTGACAAAAGTAAAAACGTAGTCATTTCCCCTCACACTTGGGCCAGGTCATTTAGGAATGACTCATTTAAAAGACCAGGACAGTGCTCAGGCGCCACGCTAAAGTAAATGAATACTATACAAGGCAGAGCACACCGACATTTTCTACTGACTGTCAGTTGAAAGACAAAACCACCCCGAGCTAGACAGTCTTTTTTTTTTTTTTTCATTTTCTTTTTTAAACTCGTGATACAGGATATCACTTACAAAGGGGGTCGGTCTGGAAACCAGCCAGCAGCTGCGGTTATGTGTTAAGATCATGACAAGCTCTGTCCCTCAACTGTTTCAATTAATATAACTGAGAAGGAGATGAAAACGCACTCTGCGAGGACATGTTATTCCAGTTAGATAAACACAGCTTGTGTTTTGGTTCATTGTAAATAACCTTTAAAATGAAGGCAGTTAAGAGCTATGACAGCCTTCAAATTTCGGTTAGACGTTGAAGGGGGAATAAATGTATTTCACTCACACTGCCCTCGACAGCTTTGGACTTCATTTGACCCGAGAGATTGAAGATCTCAAGACAAGCATGCATGAAATGGGACAAATGCTTCACCTAGTGTTGATTTTGTGCTTATCTG